ACAGACGACCGTCAGACGTCAACACACGCATTCCGGCGCTTGTTTTGTTTGCAAGCGCCTCCTTCTGTACTTGTCAAGTGCTGTTGGCGGCGGCAAGGGGCGTAGCTTGCTTATAGGCGGCGGCCCGAGAGCAGGCGGTGCAGGTGGCGGGACGAATGCGTGCTGTTCCTGCATTGAAAGAACAACAAAGGACCAATTAATTCATGATCTTTTGTTCATTTCCTTCCGCCCACCCGTCCGCGGAGATTCACGTAAGCGGGACCAGGCCCAGTCTGCAAGGGGAGGGGGGGAGGGGTGAAATGCATCTTCCATGCTCATCATAGATCAACAGGTCTTTCTCTCTGACCCCCGCAGATGGATATCCGTGCCTCGTTGGCGTCCGTCCACGCGGCAGAGGGGCGTAGTGTGGCGGGAGCCGCACAGGCTGGGGCGCCTGGATGCCGTAGGGGGGGAGGGGACGCACGGGCTCTCCTCCGGGCGGGACGAAAGGGGGGAAGCGGACACCGACGACGCCGGGAGGATGGGGCTGGAAGGCGGGGCTGAATGTCCTCATCATCCTCGTGTGAGTGCCGGCGAGCGGGGAGGTCACTCGCGCGGCGCCAGTGGATCGACACAAGCAAAATGCATTATGACCTAACACATGGCCAAATGCACACGTGTGTGAAGAGATCGATGAAGGCACTGTCGTTGAAACCGTTTTTCAGCGGTACGTTGACCGAATGACCAAAGCCAGGATCCTCACCAATGTCCTGACACGCACACACGAACACACACGCACTCGTTGACGCGTGTGTTCATTTCTCTGTTGTCTGCGTGTGTGACACACACATGCATCTGTTAGTGCGGAAGAAGGCCTCCGCGACCCCCATCGCCATGGTGTATGTCAGCCAGCTGCATGCACACAAACAGAGGGCGAGACCACGCTGGTGGAATTGCTGGTGGCTCAGCCTGTCTGTACTGCGTACATACCAAACACTCCGTCTTTCCCCCTGTGGAGCCCTCCCAGCGAAAGGCAATGCGGGCCTTCTTGTGATTGAGCATTCGGGGCGACGTGTGTTCTGAGGTCGCCCCTGCAGTTACCGTATCCTATGGACGCTTCTGTCATTCGCTCCTGTAGCTGTTTCCAATTGGCTCTTTCTCTTTGCTTACCTTTGCTGTTCAAGGATGGGCGGCAGGAGCCCCATTCCCAAGCCATTGGCTGCAGACGTCGACCTCATCAGAGGAAAGTCACCATGATCCATATCGTTCAAGGGGCGCCAAGAAGATTAAATCTCGAAAGCCTCGCACACTCTCTCTATGGGCTCTCGCTGGGAATAGGCCGAGCCGATGACTCGTAGGTCCTCAAACGTCCATGAGGATCGCTGTGGCATCTGATGCTGACGCAGGAGAGGGGCCATCAATGTGGGGAAAGCTGGCCCAGGGCAGAAAGAACGCGGAGTGGGCAAACACACCACCAGAAGTAAGATACGAGGGAGAAGTGAGAGAAACTATGAGAACAGGAGAAGAACTGGCACGACCCGATGTTTAAATCCTCGCGAGACGAGAGACGGCCAAGATCGAATCTCGCCGCGAGATTCTCGCCGCAAGCTTGAAAGGTCTTTCCGGCTCTGATGCTTCCAGGGCAGTGGACATCTCTACTGTTCTGCCAGGTAGATAAAGCCACCCAGGAAGGCTGCCGTCATTGCGTGTGTCACCAACCAACGACACAAAAGAATTAACACCCTGATCACATTAGACTCATGAATGTTGCCGCAGACATGCCAACAAGTCCACACACACACACCCCCCACCCAACAGTCACCCAACAGTGTGTCCCAAGTCGGTCGGTCGATCACTCAGCCAACCAGTCACCACACGCAGCTTTGACACACACACATCACCATCAGCACACCAACACACACATACACAGTTGCCTGCCTGCCAATAGGCCACCACACACACACACACACACAATCTTACGCAAAACTTCCCTGTGGTCTTTTCCCCTCCCTCCCGCCCTCCCTCTCAGGATCACAAAAAGCCGGCAATCGACCCCCACAGGCACACGTCTCATACACACACATGTCTACACCTGTGTGCGTGCGTGTCTTGGCGCGAAAGAATGGCACGTCACACACACTCTGAAAAAAAGACCATCGTGCACGTGTGCGGGTTCTCCTTTCTCTCTCTTTCTGTGGGTTAAAATGGTTTGGAAAGGGGGCGGATGGATGCAGGGACGGACGAGAAAGACCCACCCAGACAGACAGACAGACAGAGAAAACAACCAGCCAACGGTCCATATGAATGAAACTCGCTAACGCGTGTCTGTGTGAGGTCTTGTGATGTGCTATGAAGTGGAGTGGAGTGGCATGGTATGGCATGGTGTGCGATGGACGTGCGTGCGGGCATCAGAGAAGCGGTCGGTGCCAAAGCGATCGATCGGCGTGTGTGGTCAGAAAACGAAGAGCGCAAGAGAGAGAGAGAGAGAGAGAGAAAGTGAGAAGTGGCTGCCTTCATGTGTGTGTGTCGACGCGGCAGCCAAGATATCAACCAACACACACAGACACACTTAAACAGCTGGCCGGCTACGGTGAGAGAGGCCGATTGGGCCCCCTCTCTGATCTGCGTGTGAGTTTGCAGACGCAGACCACGCACACCTCCATGCCATGGAGGGCATGTCACATCACACAGACAGACAGACAGACGGCAAGGCAGACAGACAGGCAGAGAAAAATCAAACCGCCCCAGTGCCTTACATCGTCCCTCCCTCCCTGCAATCGCCTCGCCCCGCCCCGCTTCGCCTCGCCTCGCCCGCCCACACACGCACATATGCACACACACGTGTGCAGACAGGCAGACAAACAAACACCAGGAAGGCACACACGTCTTGTGTGTGTGTGGGCTCCTTGATGCTTGGCTTGGCTGGCTCGCCGTTGTACGGACATCGATGTGGGTGGGTGGGGGAGGGGGTGGAGTGGGGTGGGGTGTGTGTGGAAGAAAAATCATACACACGTGTGTCATGATGCAGACACATAGATAGATAGACAGACAGACAGACAGACAAAAAGACGGACAGACAGAAAGACGAACAGACAGGGAGAGAGGGAGAGGGAGAGGGCACACCGACAGCACAGTTTAGGCCAGTCAGTCAGTCAGCGCTACGCTGAGTGGGGTGGGGTGGGGTGGGCATCATAATGTGTGGTTAGTTAAACACAACACACATACACAGTGTGCACCGGAGGGGGAGGGGGGAGGGGCCTCCTTTCTTTACAACAAGACAGACAGAAGGAAGACACAGACAGACAGACAGACGCTCAGACAGACAGACAGACAGAATATACACTCACACGTGAGTGAGTCCACCACCAAGACACAGACAGACAGACGCTCAGACAGACAGACAGACAGACAGAATATACACTCACACGTGAGTGAGTCCACCACCCCACACCACACCCGCGTGAGGGGTCCCCCTCTCCCCATATATCGACCCGACCCAGCCCCCCAGCCAGTTTACCCTATAAATACATCTATCCTCATGCCGTGACCACCCATTCCGTCACTCCAGTCACTCGAGTCCCATTCTGTGTCTGCCGCTGTTAGAGATCTGCCTGTTGGCATAGCTGGCGATGCCGTCGATCGACCGGTTCTGCTTCAACGAGCCCTTCTTGCCGATCTTCGGACGAGGGGACACGCCCACACGCCGAGTTATCTACACACACACACAATCGCTTGTGGGGACTCACGATGGTGTAAGACGCCCTCTCTCTCTGTGTGTGGGTGGGTGGGGTACCTTGAGAAGGTATGCGTGTGGGGAGACGGGGAAGTGCTCCGGTAGGAATGTGGACATGCAGACGTGTTCGGCGATGAAGCCGAAGTCGGCGAGCATGTCAAAGAACTGCCGGTGGACCAGGTCGCACCGGTTGATGTACGAGATGATCGCCACACCCTGATACACACACACACACGCACACACACACCACATCTACAGGTCAGTCACTCTCTCTCTCTCTCTCTGTGTGAGTGTGTGTTGGGTACATTTGCGCTGAGGAAGTATTCTATAGTCTCGAGCAACGGACGGATCGCTTCGGGCCTTCAAAAGCCACACAGCGCACCACAGCTCGTTTGCCATCCCTGTCTGTCTGTCTGTCTGTCCGTCTACTCAGTCACTGACCAGAAGACAATGTCAGAGCCCATGACGACATCGAAGCTTTTGGGCTGCAGCGGCCTGACCGCCTTGACGGCAGTCTTGTAGCCCCACTGCAGCGGCAGCACGTGCACGGCGCAGGGGGGGCCTGTCAGTCAGGCAATCGACACACACATGGATGGATGGATGGATGGCCTGCCTTAAGATGGTCAAGTCATCTTTGTCTCTCTCTCTCTCTCTCTGAGTGTGCGCGTGTCTGTGTGCTCACGTGGTGCGGCCGATGACGTCGACCTTGATGGCGAGCCGGTCGAGCTGCCCCTCTCTGTCCGCTGCTCTGCACACACACACACACGGAGAGAGAGACACATAAACAAGGATGAGGGCAGTGCGACCACTCAACCACCCCCCACACACCTACCCACCTGTGTAGGCGTATGTGGTTGCATTGAGGTTGAGCAGGGGAATGATCTCCTCCTGACCGTCAGTCAGCACAACCTGACACACACACACACACTCTCATAGGTTTGTCCATCATCCACTCATTCGCTCATGCCTACCTCTTTAGCGAATCGTGTGGCCAACAGGCCGGGCAGCCCCGCCCCGGCACCCAGCTCCAGCACCCTCCTCGAGTTGAACAGATGGCTATTCTGCACACACGGACAGACACAGACAGGCAGGGAGCGGCCATCCATCCATCCATGTGTGGAGGTTGGCTGCGTTTCGTGTGGTGTCGTCTGTGCAGTGAGTGCACCCTTACGGCCAGTATCATATAGCACATCGTGTGCGAGGCGGGCCATATTATCTGGCCCCTGCACTCACACCACCAGACAGACAGCAGAAAGAAACAATCAGAATACCAATCAGAAACATCAGACAGCGCTCTGTCCTTGTGCCTGTCTGTCTGTCTGTCTGTGTGTATGCTGCTCTGCTGACGTGAGGTCGTAGTCCGTCTGTTTGGATGGTAGGGACATGAGCCGCTGCTTGACGCCGTACTGGTCGAATGAGAACTCATAGCACACGTAGTCGCGGCAGAGGAACAGACCAGGCTCGAAGTTGTCGTCGAACTCGTCATGGCACCCGCTGGTGGCGGCATCCTCCCTCTCAACACAACCTGCACACACGCACACACACACAGATGGATGTGTGGGTGTGGGCAGCTGCGCCCCTCTCTCTCCTCGCCTGTCTGTCTGTCTGTCTGTCTGCAGGAGCGCTCACCCTTTGTGCCGTCGGTGCTATTGAGGACAGCAGACATCATCCCGGGTCTGGGGGAGAGAGTGAGTTGCGTGGCGTCTGTGCGGTGGTGCGCCGCCCAAATCAACGCATCCCTCGCCTCCAACCTGCACACACACCACACACCACACACCACACACCACACACCACACACACACACTGTGGCGCCCTGTGTGTCCTTGCTGCCTGCTGGCCTGCCCACATACCTCTCGCAGCTCGTGTGTGCGGGAAAATTACCACCTATGGCTATCGTCTGGCGTAAGTGGCACGGCCGGTCAGGAGCGTGCCCAGCGTAGGCCAGGAGATGGCTCACGAAGTCAGGAAAAAAGGCGGAGCTCGCAGAGGGCTGCGAGCTAATCTCGCAGTGAACTGAAGGAAGCACGCGCAGGTAGGCATCACCCCTGACGGCCTCACACGCATCCACTCGGACACACGACTGTATGTATTTCTTTTCGTGCTCACCAGGTTCTGTTATGCTGCGTTGCTCGGACGCAAGTTGATTGCTGTGACAACACAGGTACTGAATGTGGCACCAGCAGCACTCTGATGCATTCAATCCGATGGATGTGTGTCCTGGTGTTTCGTTCCATCAGGCGACTGTCTGTTGGGGTGATGGACCGATGAGCGACACCGTGACGACACACGACCAACCAATGGAGGACGCTCCCGCTGCTGCCAATGGCCCACCCGCCGCCGCTGCTGGTGGTGCCGGTGCGTCTGACGGGGCCGCCGTAGCACAGCCAATGGCTGTCGGTGACAGTGAGAGTGCTGCTGGTGGTGGTGCAAGTGACGAGCACGCCGTCTGGAGCGATGTGTTCAAGGTCAGTCAGCTGCTGCGAAGGCTTGCTCACACACATCTGACTGACATGACTGACACACGCGGCAGCCTTTGCCTATCTATTATGTGAATGCTTTCACTGCAGATGTGCGGCGATCGGACATTGGCGAAATGCGCCATGGTGGGGGGCAAATGAGAATGAAAGATGCGGCATGGATGGATGGATGGATGGATAAGCCAGGCGTGGATCGGATCGGTTTCTTTGTTTGTTCGTGTGTGTGTGTGTGTGTGTGTTAGGTGTCAAGTTCGTTCAAGGCAATGTCTGAGCATAATGTCGTGTGGAACCCTCTGTGCAATAGGAAGTTTCCGTTCCAGGCAGACACACAGGTCCTCGCAACGTGCGTCTGTGTGGGTGTGTCTGTGTGGGTTTAGATACATCTCTCTCTCTCTCTCTGTGTGTGTGTGCGTGTGTGTGTGTGTAGTTCCCTGCCAGCAGCAGCCGGAAGGCCATCTACAAGCGCATGATAGTCGAGGGGCGTCCACACACCATGCACAGCACGTAGGCAGGCGATCTCCACACACACACACACACATGGACGGGAGTGTGCTCCCTCTCTCCCTGTGTGTCGATGTGTGAAGGTTGCCAGCCACTCTGCGATCTCACGGCCCCTTCGAGTACGACTACATCCCTCCGGCCAACAGGTACGTCCCACACACAAGGCACACACAACTATTCTCCGTGCATCTCTCTCTCTTTCTCTCTGTGTGTGTGTGCGTGCGTGTGTGTGTGTGTGTGTGAGCAGGCCGGCAGGCGGTGGTCTGCCGGTAGCGGTGCTGCACACGAGTGACCCCTGGCCGGTTACCGCCAACGTGTGCTACTTTGAGGTGGAGATTGTGGATGCGGGCCAGCAGTGCAGAATCTCTGTCGGGGTGGTGCCGCCTGACTATAACACTGCAAGGTCTGGACGCGACGCCAACTCGTAGATGGATGGATGGAGAGACACAGCCTTGTCTTGTTTGTTGGTTTGCAGGCAGGTGGGATGGGACGCGTTTAGCTACGGTTATCACGGAGACGACGGCAAACTCTTCCACGACGCTGGTGCAGACACGCGCACACACACACACACGGAGGGAGGGAGGGAGGGAGGGACGGACGGACAGACGGAGGTATGTGTGTGTGTGTATGTGTGTGTGTGGGGTGTGTGTGCAGGCCACGGCATTGGCTGGGACGAGAACCATCCGTAAGAATGCTTGCTTACCCATTCATCTCTCTCTGCGTCTGATGGATGGATGTGGCACTGCATCCACAGGTGGCCGTCGGGTACGGTGATCGGCTGCGGTCTGCTCAGGAGACAGAGGAAGATCTTTTTCACCAAAAACGGAGAAATCCTCGGTGCGGTGCCCACACACGCCTGTTAGACGTGACGCCCACACACAATCGACACAAACCAGTACCCTGTCTGTCTCCCTGTCTGTCTGTGTTGTGTGTCAGGTGTCGGCTTCCAGAATGTCCGATGCGTCCAGCTCAATGTAGCCAGCCCCAGCAGACATAGCCCATAGACACGGGTGCCTGGTGTGGTGTGATGCCTTCACTCTTCAGGCGGCCGACAGCCATCCCCACGACCGCCTCCTGTATCCTGCGTTTGGCCTCCACTCGCCGGGCGAGCGTGTGCGCATCGTCCTGGGCTACGAGCCGAGCGACTTCCGCTTCGACCTGACGCAGCTGACAAACACGGACGACCCACAAATCGGTCAGCACACACAGGCACACACACACGCACACACACACACAGAGGGAGAGAGAGAGGCAGTGTGTGTGTACTTTCCCCCTCCCCCCTTCACACAGTGTACATCTCCCTCCCTCTCTCTGCGTGTGTGTGTGCAGACGGCCCGTTGCAGCCCCCCGAAGGCTTCGACACTGACAGTGAATTCGATGACGATGACATCGACGACGATGGTTTCGATGAGGACAGCGACGACCTAGTACGTAGGCAGTACACCGTCTGGCACCACTGCATGTATGCGTAACAGGTAGGCCACCCTACAGACAGACAGACAGACAGGTGTGCATCCGTCGGTGTCTGTCTGTGGGGTGGGGTGTCAGGACATCGATGACTTCAGTATGGGTGAGGAGGACTCGATGGACTGGGGCGACGACAACTACTATGACGTCAGTCAGTCAGTCAGTAGCTATTAGCACCATCCACCGTCCACACATGCTTGACCCGTGAGTGTGTGTGTCGTGTGTGCAGGATGGAGATCCCTTCAATGAAGGGTATGAGGGGCATGACGATGAACAAGACCAATACGATGAGGAGGAGAAAGCTCAGGACCATGGGCAGGTACGCACACACATGACCTGAACACACACACACACATGTGTATCTCTGTGTGTGTGTCTCTCTCTCTCTCTCTCTGTGTGTGTGTGTGTGTGTGTAGGCCGCCAAAGCCCAGGTGGTCGCTGGAGGGTCAGGTTTACACGAGGATGCTCCTGAGGAGGTACCCAAAACCACCCACTCACACACATCTATGCGTATCTGTCTGTCTGTCTGTCTGTATCAGGGGTGGGACGATGGCTATGTCGAGGGCGACTGGCACGACCAGGATGACCCATTTGGCGACGCAGCCGACGACGGCAGCTGGCAAGAGGGTGGGCAGTGGGGTGAAGACAACTATGACGATCCGCCCGAAGAAGGTCACGAGGCATACCAGGCGACCGCACGCAACGAGATGGACGACTACATCGAGCAGCAGCAGGCACAGGACGAGCAAGAGCGCCAGGAGCAGGAGCGCCAGGAAGAGTACGAGCAGGAGCGCCAGGAAGAGATTCGGCGGTTGTGGGATGAGGAAGATTACATCGAGGCGCACGGAGATGAGTACCCTGGTGATGCTTTCGGGGAGGACTGGGATGGTGTTGACGACTAGACACAATCAGTATGAGGTGGGTGGGGGGTTTGGTGGCACACCTCTCTATGAGGTGCGAGCGAGTAGAGCGGAGAGAGACAGACAGTGACTCGTATGTGTGCATGTAGCGCAGTGATTGACAGTTTTTTCATTCATCGGCCGATTGTCGCCTGAATGATTTGTGAACTGTCACGAGACACGCGAAACGAAAGTAAGGTGTGCGTCCCCAAGCAAGAAGCCAACATCCATTTTTCCAATGGGCTTCCATCCATCCATCCATCCTTCCATCCATGCCAAATGTAACCCGAGCCCGTCATGGATCATGAGTCCTTGACATGTAGAGTGCACATAAGTGATGCCCCTGGGTATGGATATGTGTGTGTGTGTTTGTGTTTGTGTTTGTGCGACAATGATGTTGCGTGGGCAGAAGTTGGCTTCATGGTCAAACACTCGTCATTCTAATTTGCAAAGGTGTGATTGTGGCCGAGCAGCTGTCAGGCTGGTCAAAAGGCTGTCAATGCATTGTGCCTCAGAATGCTGTCAGGCTGCATGAGAAGGCCATCTTTCGGCAGCAACTTGGCTCCTTGGTTTGTTGGTCAAGAAGCTGTTCTTTTTTGGTCAAGAACTGTCTTTTTGGATGGATGATCTATCTTTTTGCAATGGCGAGTCATCTTTTTGGGCAAGAAGCCATCTTTTTGGTTGAGAAAGCGGTCTTTTAGCCCCAGAAATTCACCTTGCCCCAGATCGACAGCTCGCAGCTCAAAAAGGCGAGATGTGTTCCTTGTTGTTTCGCCCGCAGGCAACGATAAGGGAGTCCGACGGTGGTGTCTGCTCGTAAGAAGATGCCGTTGGTGCTGTGTATGGCGCTGCTGGCTGTCGGTCTCATGGCCGCAGCGATTCCCTCCAACACACAAAGCGCTGCTGATGGTACGTTAGCAACCGACAACACAACACCATGCGATGCAGCTGATGTGTGTGGATGATGGCTGCATGCAGTGTCGCCGACGCGCTTTCTGGCCCTCAAGTCGGCTGATAAGACCGACAGCACGGAAGCGGCTTCCCAGGGTAAGTACGCGAGAGCAACACAACACAATCAATGAATGCATTTGTGTGTATGGCATTGCAGAGTTAGCGTTCATCCAGCAGCAGCTCGACCACGCCCACCAACTCTCCACCGCCGCCCACGAGATCAGCGTCGCTGCCGTTGAATCCCTCGACAGCGCCCTCGCACGTCAGCCTAGTAATGGTGCGCATCTCAGGACCATCCACCCATTTCTCCATCCATCCATCCATCCGTCCATCTATCTGTGTTTTTCCTTCTGGCTGGCGTCATGCAGGCAGGGATATCACTTGCACAGTCTACATGACGAAAGCGTGGGACTACAGGGTGGGCGGCTGCCCACTCGCAGAGGACGGCCAGGTCACCCACGTGTGCGTGGCCGAGAAGACGGGGCGTGCTTGGAAAACCTACTACTTTAAAGGAACGGCACGGCGTCAGGAACTCAAGCCCCATGCCGGCCTCTGCTTCAGCAAGGGCATTGCCGACGAAATCGTAAGCAAGCCGACGTGTGTCCATCATGTGTACGGTCCTGTCATGTGTGTGTACGGTCCTGTCGTATGTGCGTGTCCATCCTGTCATTCAGTGCCGGAAGGCCCCCACACTTGAAGGTTGACAGAAGGAGAGAGGGACAATGCCGCGCACAGGTATCCACTCGTCTCTTTGTGCTGCCTGTGTGTCTGCCTGTCTCCCGTCAGCGGCGCAGTTTTTTGGCATCTCCATTGGCGACGCCATCATCACGGGGACATACGACCTGTCCGGGATGCATTGTTACGTCGACCCCGACGCAATCAAAGACATGATCAAAGCCATGAACAAAGCAACAACAGTCTACAAAGGGGATTTGTAGCCAGCTTACCTACATACGATAGATGCGATGGATGGATGGACAGGCCCGCACGCAATATCGATATACACTCACACACATCCATGAGTGTGCCGGCGTGTGCTTTGCCGTCCTGAAAAAGCGGTGCCCTTTAGTTTGGATGTCTGGCTGTCTGGTTGGCTGTCTGGCTGGCTGGCTGGATACGCTTGACTTTCGTCATATTTCTTTTCTCGTCTTGATGTGGGCACACGGATGTCTTCCTTATGTTTTTCCCGTACTGATGTGCGTCCGTCTGGCTGGCTGCCAATTGCCTTTATGGATAGATGGATGTATAGAGACACACACATTCAGAGACATGACGTGACATCAACCAAGCGGAGGAGAGATACTGCGATTGATCAGTTGATGATTCACATTGCGCCGGACATTCAACAAATCTGTCTGTGGTCATAAGCGTCCCCCCATCCCCCCCCCCCCCCTCC